AACATAACACTGAGGGAGAAAGCAAAGTAATTTTAAATGGAAAGTGAAGTTATGGCATTCAGTCATTGCTGTTTAGGTGGTAGGAGATCCTGCTCTGTTGGTGTGAGCCAGTGCTTGAGTGTATTTTGCACTTGGATGGGACAAGGTCACTTGTCTGGAGACATTCTAAACCCATCTGGACACATTCCTGTGTGATCTGCTGTAGATGATCCTGCTCTAACAGGGGAGTTGGACTAGATGATCTTCAGAGGTCCCTTCCAACCCTAACAACTCTATGGCTTGGTCACCATGGAAGGGATTTTGAAGTGGAGTCTGTCAGATCCCAGTTATCTTTGACTTTGGATGTCTTGTAGACAATGAAATTAATCATGATGTAATTCCTATTGCTAAATTCAGTGGTTAGGGTTTTTTGTTCGTTACGGTTTAAGCTTTGGTTTCACCTTTATGAGCTGCAGGTACCTAGTTTATAACAAGGATGGTTGAACTTGGTTGTTGCTACCAGATAAGTTGCTTGGAACATCTCTATCAGGTTTCAGGGTTCATGTCAGCTTTTTTGTTTGTTGTTTAGTTAAAATGGGTAGATTACTTCAGCACCAGAGAGGCAAATAAGCAACCAAAAGACTGCAAAAAATAAAGGTAGGTCTTTGTAAGTGGAAACTACAGAAAATATTGTTGGAATACATGTGGCAGATTTATTAGTGTGAAATTGTAGAGTCTTTCTTAAAACTAAGCTCACCATGAGATACTTACTGAAGACAGATTACCGTAAAATTATTACTACTAGAAAGGATTTTTTTTTTTTTTTTTAAAGAAGCACTTTTGTATAATGGTTGTTATGTCTGCTCTGGTTATTGTGTGTGGTTAAAAATAGAGGGAAAAAAGAAACATTTCCTTGTTTTCCCATTGTGAGTTTCAGCTGAATGGTGTCTTCTGCTGCCTGTTCTATGTTCTTCCATAGGTTATTTTTAACCACATCAGCATAAATTTATGTCATCCTGAAGTATGGATGTGCAGGTTTAAAAAGCTGCAAACATGCCATGAAAATTGGGATTGTATGAAAACATCAGATTGTTTTAAACTCCTAAAATACAAGCAGTTGACTGCAAGATAAAGGACTTGTTGAGCTATATTATTATTTAAATATCCCAGAAGGCAGAATTATGAAGTCCCGTTGCTTTTTCCCAGGAGAAAGGTGACAAAATGGGAATCTGTCCCAAGCTTTCAGGATTTTTTATCAACACCTTAATTCTCTGGCTAAATGGGACAGAAAGGAGAAGAGTTCTGTTTTCTCGTTTAAGAACATCATCTTTAAGAAAATGGTGTTTCTTTTATTAAAACGAGAAAAATTGGAAAGTTTCACATTTGTGTAGTCCATAAGGATCCGTGAGTTTTCCATGGTTGTCAAATTTTATTGCACGACTAAATTGAGAACTCTGTTCTAAGCGCATAAAGCTTTTCATTAGTCACTATAGTGACTTATTTATTTCCAAACTAAGCCTAAAGCAAGGTGGGTGATAATTTAGGACTGAATGGTGGTGTTTGAGCTTAGAGGAGTGTTCTTACTGAGGGAGGTTGCAAGCCTGTTATCCCAAGACCATGAAGGGTTTCCTAACTGCAGCAGTGTCTGGGTTGAGGAAGAAGGGGTTGGCATCTGTTGCAGCAGGAGCAGCAGGGCTCTGTGGGATGCACGTGAGGGATGCAGAAGGCTTGGATTGTGAGAGGGGGAGGTCTTACTCCATGTAACCTAAGAACCCTCGTCTGGTCAGTCCCACAGCATGGGCAGGATTGTGCAGGATTCTGCCTCCCAGCTGTTCATTTTGCAGCTCTCAGCATTGGCGGTGCTTCTGCCTTAGCACTCTTGGCTTAACCCTTGCCACGTGCCTTTAGTAACATAAGACAGTAGAAGGGCAACTTTGTCATCTTTTAGATGGTCCAGTCTGGACCCAGCCATGTGCAGATGGGTTTTTGCAGCACTGTTCTGCAATCCCTGTTTAGCGTAAGGACTATGAGGAGGTACCACAGGACCTTGCAGTTTCCTGGGTGCCAGGTTGTTACCACTGTGTCAAGGCTGTGAGTCCAGCTTTCTTGGTTCTTCAGATGCTTCTGAATGTCACAGCTCCCCCTTGTCTCCTTCTGCCTCTTTACTTCATGCTTTTGTTTAGGTCTTTTCAAATAAGTTCTGTCTGAGTACGTGGGCTTTTCCTTACGTGTGAAGACACTTCCCTGGAGCAGCTGTACACTGCTGGTTGCTGCACACACACAGCATAACAGTTGTGAAGGTTAAAAAGGAAAATTCAAAAAAGCAGTTCCACAGAGCAGTTGTGCAGGATGCCTTCAACATCTGTGGAAAATATCTCCCATGAAACCCACATTGTTTTCTTGAACTTCTTTGGAAAGCTCTTTTGAAGTTGTGACTGATGCCCAGTATCCTGGTAGAGTTAAGTAATCTGAAGGTCCCAGCTGGATAGGTTTCCTTGGAGGTGTGGTTAGCAGGCACAAGAGTGTGGGTGTGTGTGCACGTGTGCTTGTGTATGTTTAAAAATCTATACACTTTTTAAACAAAGGGAAGTTATTACAAAAATGTGTATATCTAATTGTCGTGGCAGGAGGAAAAATATGTGCAGAAGCTTAGCCAACACTTTTATTTTAGGGTTTTATTAAGTATTCTTTTTATGCCTAAATATTAGTGGTTTGTGACCACAAGAACAGATGGTGTTCCATTTGGAGTGAACCTGTCCATCTGAACATTCCCCTTTGTGTAGGAAACCAGCTCAAAATTAGTTCAGTCTGAAGTTATGGTTGTTGATACAAATTCCTACATGTGCCTGAAATGGTTGATGTTGAATGGGCATGTCATGGCCCTGCTCAAGTAATCACAGCCTTTAAAACCTGGTGTCTCTAATGAAAAAACATTGTTATTGCAAGAAGGTGTGGAAATAGCACAAGTAGCATCTCATGGAACGTTTCTGTTCTTGCAGAGCTCAGACTGCTTGTGTCTTACGGTGAAAAAGGAGAGCTCTTTACACCAATCTGGTGTGCTGGCTGTGGAAGTTACCTCCTTTAAACTGTTAATGCTGGAGTGGTAACTTTCCTTTCAGATAAACTTTTCCTTTGTGAACATTTGTTTTGCAACAAGGTGGCTTTTTAATAGTACAGTAGAAAAAGTGGCCAGTGAGAGGAGGGGTATGTAGGAAATAATTAACTTGGCTGGTGGGATACTCTAAATGAAACTATTGGTAGCATGAGGTGGTGAGTACTGGAAGAACTAGTTGTATGCATCTGTGAGTCTAACTGGAATTGCAGTAACCAGAGGCAAAGAAGTTTACTCATGCTGCACAGTAATGGTTTATGTAAATAAATACTGGTGTGTGAATATTAGGGTGGGATAATATTACAGTAATATTTTACCTGTTGTACTGTCTTGCTTACCTTGGTTTTATTTAGATAGTGTGGTCCTTACTTCTTACTTCTTTCTGGCTTGATTTTCCTGCTCTGTTGTGTAAAGTAACTAGAACACAGAACAAAACGTGCCCATTGAGAAGAAATTAAATATTTAAATAAAGGAGATGCAAAATATCCCATGTTTATGAAACAAGCAGTGAAGTCCTTGGTACTCACTACTGTTCCTCCACTGTGTGCTCCATGCAGCTATTTACATTGTCCCAAGATCTGTAAAAGGGGAGAATGAAACAAATAACATTAATGTTTCTAGCTAGGTGGGAGTGTTGATCTGCATGAGGATGGGGAGGCTCTACAGAGAGACCTGGATAGATTGGATCATTGGGCTAAAGTTAATGGTCTGGACTTCAACAAGGCCAAGTGCTGGGTCCTGCACTTGGGCCACGACAACCCCAGGGAATGCTCCAGGCCTGGGGAAGTGTGACTGGAAAGGACTTGGGAGTTCTAATTGACAAGCAGCTGAACATGAGCCAGTGTGTGCCCAGGTGGCCAAGAAAGCCCACGGCATCCTGGCCTGTATTAGAAATGGTGTGACCAGCAGAAGTCGAGAGGTGATTGTCCCCCTGTGCTCAGCACTGGGGAGGCCACATCTGGAGTGTTGTGTCCAGTTTTGGGCACCTCGATTCAAGAGAGATCTCGAGGTGCTGGAGCAAGGAGAGGAGGCAACGGAGCTGGGGAAGGGTCTGGAGAATAAATCGGATGAAGAACACTTGAAGGAGCTGGGAGTGTTTAGTCTGAGGAGGAGGAGGCTGAAGGGAGACCTCATCAGTCTCTGCAACCACCTGAAAGGTCATTGTAGAGGTTGGTGCTGGTCTCTTCTCACAGGTAAGTAGTGACAGAACAAGAGGGAAGGGCTTCAAGCTGCACCAGGGGAGGTTTAGAGTGGACATTAGGAAAAAAATTTTCCCAGGACGTGTGTTCAGACCCCGGAACAGGCTGCCCAGGGAGGTGGTGGAGTCACCATCCCTGGGTGTGTTGAAGGGTGGTCTGGATGTGGTGTCGGTGGATGTGGTTTAGGGGAGAAGTTTGTAGAGCAGGGATGATGGTTGGACTGGGTGATCCCACGGGGCTTTTCCAGCCTGAACAGTTCTATGATTCTATGATTTTCTGAAAGAACAGGGTGGCAGTTTTATGTTTTATTACATCAAAGATTAATGCATATATCACTTTGTGCCATTATTTACTGGTAAAGTCATGTCTGCTGTCATTAATCAGCTTCTTCATTAGTCTTTTAGTTGCCTAAAAAGAATTGTAAAAAGTCAAATCAAGAATATGGGTAAGCTGTCCTGGGGACATCCATTCTAAATTCATGTGATTTAATAGTGCTGATACTTCCAAATTGACTTTTTTTTTTTTTTCTGTTTACAATGTGTTTTTATTGAATTTGAAACTATTTTGGAATCACAACTAACATTTTTTTCCCTCTTTATTGCAGACCAGACTTCAACGTTCTTTTCATGAAAGAGGTTTCCAAGTAGCTGTCTTATAATAGCTTTGAGAAGAATTTCTATGTAGCTCTTACTTTCAAGAGTGCTGCAAAAATGATTACTTCAGATTTGCCAGTACTACAGTGAGTATATGTTTCTCTCTATATTTGAAATCTTCAGTGATAGAAAGGTAGAAGTAAACAGGGAAGTTATTGCAAGGATAAAACACAAGCTTGAGGGAAGTGCAGGTTAGCGTGACTGTTCCAGGCCTTGTGTTGTCCTGTGCTGAAAAGCTGTAAAGAATTAAACACTTAAATGATGTTTGTTTATATGTTTGGAGACTTTGCAGAGAAAACCAAAACAAGATTTTTGCTACTTCTGTGCATCTGAGTGTTGAAAGATTTCAGAAATGTGAGTGGATTTTGGTCATGATTTGCCATATTGGTGTATTCTAGCTGTGTACCTTGTCTTACAAGGAGCAAAACACTTTTGGCCTCTGCAGCTGAAGACAGGAAGTGGTGTTGGCATGTTTGAATCTCATTGGGAAACATGAGTGGCTTATACAAATGGGAACATCACTGTATGTGGATAAAGTGAGGAATTGAGAGGAAGTCTATGAGAGAAACTAGAGAATAAGTAATTTTTAGAAACAAACAAGATGGAGCTCTGTTTAATATTGGGTTCACCTTGGCTGGCTGTCAGACACCAACACAAGCAGCTCTCTCACTCATTCTCCTCAGGACAGGGGAGGAATAAGGTGAAAACACCCATGGGGCAAGATGAAGACAGGGAAATCACTTACTAACTAGACCCATCAGCAAAACACACTTGACTTGGGGGAAATTAATGTCTTGCCAATTGAGTGAGATTTGGATGGTGGTGAGAAACAGACAAAAAATGGAGTGTTCCCTCTCCTGCTTCCCTTTTCCCTTGTTCAGCTCATCCCTGTGCTCCTGTCCACAGCCCTGATCCCCACCAGGGGCTCCTGTGTGGAGGCTGGGGTGGGGGGCAGCCCCTGATCCCCTCAGGGGCTGTGGAGAGGCTGTGCTGGGGGGCAAACGCATCCCCTCCTCCTCGGCTCCTTGCAGCCACCCTGCGGCCCCACAGCCTGGCACCCTGACAGAGGACATTCACTAACTACCCAAGGTTAATTTTTTTGCTGGGAACAATTAAAAAAAAAAAAAAAAAAAAAGAATTATGGTGGGGTGTAAAAGAGCCTCAGTTTATCAAGGCTGAGTGGTGCTCCAAAACTAGGATTTCAAGTGCCTTTGTTTAAGAAACTGGATGTTTGGACAATTGTGAAGTAATTTGTATGACCTTAATGCTCTGCATTGCAATTTTTTTCTTATATTTTGAAAAACTCTTTCAAAGACAGTTTATTACTGCTGTGGGTGGCTGGGCTGTGGGTGACCCTGGTGGGCAGCACTGAGCTGAGCCCTCGGGGGTCTAGGTGGCTTTGAGAGTAGTTGTGGAAAAAAATATTCTTGATGTATATTTTCTTGGATGTACCTCATCCAAGAAGTGAGAATGTGCTTGTGAAATGTGCTAGGGACAAAAAGCTGTCACAGCAACATGGGAGAAGAGTATTTCTATTCTTGGTTAGATGGCCTTGAGAAGTGAATGTCATATTGTAGAGTTTAAAGTTAAAAAGTGTGTAGTAATAGATTGGGTAGTTGCCCACTATCTGAAAAACCTGAGCATCCTTAAAGATGTTTACATACTGTTTAATCAGAAGAAGATTTTTAGCTACCAAATATTGCACAACATTAAGAAATGAAAGGAAACATGTATGTTATTTTTTCCAGTAGAGCTGGGAAACATTTCATATCACTGTGCAAAGTGTTGGTGACATGTCATCATCAGTAATATATAGTTAGTGTTGATTGCTTGTAAACAAGATGAGAAATCTTTAAAATAAAAATTAAAAAATCAGCAGGATTTGCATGTAAAGGTTTTGAGACTCTCCTGAGGTCTCAGAACATACAGTCTAGTGTGAATGAGGTATCAGAGAACATAACTGCTAATTCAGTAGGCAGGAATTTGATCAGAAAGGAGTCTGGCTAAAGGTAAGAGAGAGCCTGGAGCAATCTTTGATCAGGTAGTATTGGCTTCTCACATTTATCTTTGAGAAACCAGAATCTGGTTCCACACAGGGAAATCACAGGGTTTTTTTCCAGCTCTATATTAAGCAGCTTTGAAGGATTATTATGATCTACCTCTCCTATGTCTTATTTCTACTTTTCGTACCTTTTTCTAATCTTTTTCGCTACCCCCTTTAAACAAAGCATCCTAAAGTCAATTTGATATATTAATGTACTTTGCTTAGGACCATATCAAATATTCCCTCCCAAAATCTCTGTTGAGAGAACAGGAAAGGAGAAATCTTTAATCTTTCTGGATTCAGAGAGGAAGCTTCAGAATGCAGTGAAAACAGGATTTAACTTATTAGTGTTTCAGATGTAGGGAAAAAAACCCTCTGATGTATTTGACCTGAGTGACTGACTGTTACGAGTCTTTTCTCAATGGGATGACTCATATTTGCTACGAGGCGTGTTCCTCTGTAGATTTCGAAGATCAACCACAAGAGCTGATTCATCCATGATTCATGAGCCTGCGCATTTAGCCATTTTTCTTCATGAATGCTTTGCTTCACAAGGCTGAGTCTGGTGGTAGCAATTACTGACTTTGTCTCTGCCAGAACCTTGAGCCATCTCAGCAACACGGATAAAAACTTATAGAAGTATTTTTATTTGCAACAACTGGCACACAAACATAGGGTTTTTTTGATGTGGTGTGTTTTTAACAGGGGGTGGTATAAGCTCTATATCAAGGGTCTTTCTGTAATAATAGAAGGAAGGTAAATTTGATTTATTTTTTTTTTTGCAGAGATGTGAAATTGACTGTCTGTAGAAATATGTTCAGAAGCGTGACGTGGTAAAGGGCTGCCCAGCAATCTGTTAGTTCTTACCACACAGTTAGGTTCAGTGGCTAGTTGTTACAACTTTGGAATAATATCTGGAGTTTTTAAGAGTGATCCTGCTGGCTTTCTAGGATGCTTTAGCCACCACAGAACCCAGAAAGAAATGCAGACTAAATTTGAGCCCCTAAAAGGAGTTATTGCTTGTCTGCTTTTCTCAGCCCACCCCAACGTTGTGGGTCTGTCACACTCTCTTCTGTGCTAAATTCTCTCTGACATGTCAGAAGTGTCTTTGAGAGAAAAGGTGTAGCCTTAGTCACTGCCACCTCTCCTCTTCTGAGCTGAGGCACGTCTCCTTTTGCCCAGATTATTTTTCCTCCCCACAGCTTCAGGAAAGATAAATAGTCACCCATCAGGTGACTATTCACAGACACGTACAGTAGTGACAGGGTAATTCTGCTCTATGAAGATGTGGGTGACTGCCACCAGATAAATGACTTCCTAGCAGTT